CACTGAAATCGGCGATAACAAAGACACTAAATGACTTGGCGGTACGCTTGGCCTTTAAAGAACCGGATTGCGCTCAAATCTCCGCAAGTTTAGAGCACATCGAAGCGAAGAAAGGAGAAGCGCTGGCGATCATGCAGGATCTGGAGATAGAGTATGAAAAGCTAAAGAAAACTGCAGACGCAGAGAAGACGAGCGATGAAGCAGATGCTTTGGTCGACCGAGTGGATAACGATACCAACACTGCACGTTCCTATTTAGCGGCTCAAGCAAAAATATTCTCGTCTAAACAGAAGGAATCCTCGGAAATCGAAGGACACACAAACGCACAGCAAGGGGCGAGCGATCCAAACAAACAATTGGAATGCATCAGGATACCAATATTTTCGGGAAACAAAATGGAATTTCAACAGTGGTTCGCCGCCTTTTCCACTTGCGTCTACAAAACGTCACTTGCACCACAGTTCAAGATGCTGAGGTTAGAAGGTTGTTTACGTGGAGAAGCCGCCGAGACGATTAAAGGCCTGGGTTATTTTCGCAAACTGCTTACGACGCCGCATTGTCAAGATTGCAGCGAAAATACGGCGGGGATCGGTGTAAAGTTCAAGCGCAAATCGAAGAATTAAGAAAGATGAGGCCAGTTAACGAAGGTGATCCAAAGTCGATGGATAAATTTGCTGATGCCCTTGAAAGAACCATTGTTGTTTTGAAAGATAACAGTCTTCACGCGGACTTAGGGGGCGGAACCCTATATGGAATCGTGGTCGAAAAACTGCCCGAGAATTTGCGAGGTCAGGAAGACGAACCAGCCGCTAGACTTTGTCCTTTGGGCTGGACCGCTATCGGAAGAATCGGAAAATCGACACAACCGAGAGGAACAGCATGTGTCAACACTGGCTACTTACACTGGCCTACTTACTGGGCCTACTTACACTGGCCTACTTACTGGGCTGGACCGCTATCGGAAGAATCGGAGGCCTACTTACTGGGCCTACTTACACTGGCCTACTTACTGGGCTGGACCGCTATCGGAAGAATCGGAAAATCGACACAACCGAGAGGCACAGCATGTGTCAACACTGGCTACTTACAAACGTTCCGTACGTGTGCACAGCAATTAACCCCAGACATCGTTACTGCATCGGATGAAGATTTGAACGTCACACTCAAGCGTTTTTGGGACCTCAAAACACTCAGCATCGTCCCACAGAGTCAAGAAGAAAACGAGTTGACACCCCTGGAGAAGATAGCCCAGAAAAAGGTTGAACAGTCACTGTCCTACAACGGTGATCGGTACGAAGTTTCAGTACCGTGGAAACAAGATCGACCTAACCTGCCAAACAATCGACAGATGGCCGAGAGAAGATTACAGCTTGTTGAAAAGAAACTTCAGAAGGACACGCAACTGGCCAACGCCTACCAGGGTGTAATCGATGACTACCTGAAGAAAGAATACATCAGAGTTGTACCCACATCGGAACCAAGACCAGAAAGCGAGTGGTTTTTACCGCATTTTCCAGTGGTACGCCCAGATCGAGAAACAACCAAGGTTCGCATCGTGTTCGATGCGTCGGCACAGCTGAATGAGAAGAGCCCGAATACAGAAGCGTTGCCAGGTCCAAAGTTACAGAGCAACATATTCGACATCCTGGTACGATTTAGAAAAGAGCTGGAAGTGTTGGTTAGTGATGTCAGTCAGATGTACCATCAGCTGGTTCTTAAACTAGAAGACAGGCCTTTCCATCGGTTCCTGTGGCGAAATCTTGACATACAGAGCCCACCGCAGGTTTACGAGTTCTCCAGATTCGTTTTCGGAGGCTGCTACTGCCCGTTTTGTGCTCAATTCACATGGCAACGCCACGCTGAAATCCACAAGACACAGTACCCTTTGGCTGCAGACGCTGTTAGGAACCACTACTACATGGACGACCTGATGCCTTCGGTGGCAACAATCGAAATCGCAAAAGAAACAAGAAAACAACTGACGGAACTGGGAAACTTGGCTGGGTTTCACCTGAGAAAATGGATGTCCAATCAAGCAGAAGTTTTAAAGGACATACCAGCCAAAGACCGAGCACAAACCATCGACTTAGAAGAAAACAAGCTATCGACAACCAAGACCTTGGGGGTGCTGTGGACCGCAGACCTAGACACATTCTCCTTTAAATATTCGTTGACCCCAGAAACAGAGCTCACCAAGCGAAAAGTACTAAAGAAGACAGCAACCATCTTTGACCCGCTTGGTTTCCTAGCGCCGTACGTTGTTAGAGCCAAGATCCTCATTCAGCAGGCCTGGGTAGAAACGACCGGTTGGGATGTCCCCCTCCCAGGCCATCATCAGAAGCAATGGAAGTCCTGGTTCGAAGAATCCATCGGTCTACAAGGAATCCGCATTCCAAGATGTTTAAAGGATCGTCATTCTACAGCAGTCAAAGCCTCTCTTCACAGGTTCTCGGATGCTTCCGAAGCAGCATATGCCGCAGCTGTTTACATTCGACACTAGTACGAAGACAAATCTATCACGACATATTTAGTTGGTTCGAAGACCCGGCTTTCTCCATTAAAGGCAATGAGCATCCCACGACTCGAGCTCATGGGGGCAGTAATTGGACTACGGTTGACGAAACAGATTAGTGCTGCTCTGGAGATCCCTTTGTCACCAGCAACGTTCTGGGTTGATAGCATGAACGTTGTCTATTGGATACACGGACAGAGTCGTAACTACAAACCATTCGTTTCCCATCGCGTAGGGGAAATCCATGAACAGTCGGACCCCAACCAATGGCGTTATGTTCCCACAAAACAGAATCCAGCGGACTTCGGAACCAGGGGACTAACAGTTTCAAGATTAGCAGACAGCAAGATGTGGTGGAAAGGTCCGACCTTCTTGGCGTTTCCAGAAAGTGACTGGCCTAAACCAAAAGCAGCGAATCCAAAAGAGGAAGCCTTGACAGAAGTGAGAGCTGAACGAAGACCAGATCTAAAGAACCAGCTTTCCAGACAAGAGGAAGAGAACGACAATCAAAACTCAGAACAGGAACATTCAACCTTCGTTATTCTCGAAAAGGAAACTTGGCGTTTAAACCCAGCCAGATTCTCCAAATGGTACCGAGCTTCTTCTCAGGGACAGTTAGAAATTGGATACTCACTGGTTCGGGTGAGGAGTTGGGTCATGCGATTTATCAAGAACTGTAGAGTCCCTGAAGAGCAACGCATCAAGGGAGAATTGACGACAAAGGAACTCTCGGACACCGAACTTGACATCATCAAGGAAGTACAGAAAGAGGTTTTCAACGAAGAAATTATTGCACTAACGGCAAGAAAGGAATTGAGCAAAAGAAGTCATCTGCTCCCCCTTACACCGATGTTGGCTGGAGAACTATTACGATCAAATACAAGACTTCGGCGATCAGATGACCTGGCGGCTGACACCAAGTTCCGATTATTCTGCCAAAGAAACATCACGTGACACAGCTGATTGTGAAGTATCATCACGAGATGGAAAGTCACGAGATGGGTGTCAACTATACACTCAATCACCTGCGATCAAGATACCATGTGATTCACAGTCGACAAGAAGTAAAGGCATGCATTCATAACTGCTTTGAATGTAAGAGGCGTTTTCGACTCCACCCTGCCAAGCAACAAATGGCCCCGTTGCCGCAGTTTCGCTTACAGATGACTAACAGACCGTTTACCAATTGTGCAACAGATTATGGTGCCCCTTACTTGACCATGCAAGGACGTGGAAGAGCTCGAACCAAACGATACCTGTGCCTTTTCGTTTGTTTACAAACCCGCTGCTGCCACCTGGAAATGGCCACATCCCTAGACACAGGTAGTTTCATGAACGCGTTCACCAGGATGACTGCTAGAAGAGGATGGCCCAAGATAATGGCTAGCGACAACGGATCAAACTTCGTCGCTGCAGACAGAGAAATTCGAGAATTAGTCGCAGAATTAGATCAAGAACAAATCCGACGCACAACGGCAAACAAAGGCGTGGAGTGGTACTGGAACCCACCAGCAGCACCGCACTTCGGTGGTGTATTCGAAGCCTTGATTAAAGCGGCAAAGCGAGCTATTTCAGCCATTTTACAAGACGCAGACGTCACAGATGAAGAGCTGCAAACCTGTTTTACAGGAGTCGAGAGTTTGCTTAACTCGAGACCACTAACGACCATCAGTGATGACCCAAATGACGAACCAGTATTGACGCCAAACCACTTTATCATTGGTCAGATGGGCGGAGACATAGTTCCAGATAGTGTTGACACGACCGAGTTCAACCCTTGTTAACGATGGAGGCGAATTCAAGAGCTCATTCATCGCGTATGGCAACGTTGGTTGAAAGAATATCTGCCATACATTGGTTCTCGACACAAGTGGTTCTCTAAGGAAAAGAACCTGAAAGAAGACGACGTAGTGATTGTGATCGACCCCGATGCAAGACGACGAGACTGGAAAGTGGGTAGAATTCTTCGCACCTACCCTGGAGCGGACGGTCTCGTGCGAGTAGTAGATGTTAAAGTTGGAGATAAGATTTTGAAGAGACCTATTACCAAACTTTCACTGCTAGAAATGCAAGAGTGACACTGATAGAGACAATGACAATCTAGTTTATATTTCGGTTTGAATTTTGACTCAGTATTTCGTGTTCAATTGTTATATTTTTCGTTTCGTTATAGTAAGAATTTCAACATTAAGGCAATGATTGTAATTCTGGAGGGGGAAATGTTATAGAGACGAAAAGGATAGTGCGTTACTATTTCGTAACATTACGTGACTTCCGGTTGAGTTAATAATATCAAATGTAATATAAGATGATTTTGTAACATAATAAAAAAGCAAATTGAAAAATCAAGTTTTGGTACGCGTGAAATCGAACATCGATCCCGAAATATTTACAGGAAATCGCGAGTTATCGAACATCGGAATTATCGGAAACAACACAAGTGCCTCCACAAACTGCAATAAAACTCTTCAGCATTTTGGAGACCAGTCCAGGGGGTGGGGAGGGAAGGGAAGAATTGACAAGGTCTGGAATCGGGTATCACATGGTCCCGAGCTTTCAGCAAGTATGGAAAAACAAGGACTGTATGTGTTTCCTACACATCGCCTGAAGTGGGAACAAAAAAAGCAAAATTACTCCAGTGTAATACACAGCCATACCAGTGTACAATGGGGTAGTAGGTACAATGGGGTAGTAGGTACAATGGTGGACATTGTCTACAAAGATGGTTGATGATCCTGCACCAGCTTCTAATGTTGTGTTTATGTGGTTTGCTGTATATACGGGTCCATTCTATATCAATGAAGATCCCATTACTTGTACCAATTGGACCTGTTAGTAAGTCAACTCATTGTCTTTCCCACTGTAAGCAACTCTTAGTTCCACTAAGACTAGCTCAGGGTACCACAATCCACAAATGTCAATGGCATGACTGTGGGTGTTGATGAGGGTTTCTGGTATGTTGTTCTTCACCCTGAAAAGTATGAATTTGAGGCAAAGAATCTTGGCACCCTGCAGCAGGTGGAAGAAGTTCAGATACTGATTTTGCATTTTGTGAGGATGTTCTATTAAATGATGACAGATAAAAGCTGGTAAACACACCCACTACCCTGGCAAGAGCAACAGATATGCATAGGCTGCATTTGCTGGCTAATCAATGTCAGGAAATGGAGGCTTTCGCACCAGCTTATCAAGAGGAAACATTAATAAGACTGGTGGGATAGGCAGAGTCCCAAAGTCATCACTGAGCATGAGGATGAACCACTTCTTTCAAGTCTGACACATGGAGTGGATAATAACGCCTAGAAACTAGTGACTAAGGTTGCAGAGGAAGTGATCAGGAGACTCTCTCCCCCTGAAACAAATAATAAAGCTCTCACTGTACCCAGTGCTCTGTCCAAGGTTCCTCTGGGGTCCAATGTACTCCCCCTTCTTACTTCTGTTCTACCTAGTTTGTCAGAGCAAGCTGATGCAGTTGTTCTGGGTTTGAGTCAAAGGAATCATCTTAGCATATGGTGTTAATGATCGCAACTCCTAAAGGCCGCCATAATTCTCACATAATGCAGCTTTTCTATTATCTTCAGGTGTAACCCTAAAATTCAATTATAAACAGATCATTGACTTATTGCATGAAAAGTAGAGTAAGTCCTTAATCAAAAGTTCATTCGCACAATTTAAGTTAATTGTTATTTCAAGAATGATCCAAAAAATGTAAGTATACACCGTTACTTATCCTGCATTGGTTTTCTTCTTGGGATTATTTGTTGCTTAACTTAATTGTAGATAGGTGCAGTTCAGAATAAATTCCAAAGGTGTAAAAAGGCAAAGGAAATAACTGAATAAATGAATACATAAATAGAGAACTAGATCAAAGAAACCTGCATGTGACAGCTATGTTACAATTTACACTCAAATAATTTGAGTGTAAATTGTAAGTTGTAATTCCCACATCACAACCATTTAAATGCCAAGCAAAACTGTAAACTGTACACAGTGCTAAAATGTGTTTTTGCACTTAGTCTGGGGTGGAAGCTGAATGAAGATTGATATACTGGGTTTAAGTAGAGAAAAAAGAATGAATAATTTGGTTTGGAAACCTGGGAATAATGAATAACGTATTCTTGCCTGAGGAGTTATAAATACTGCATTCTTATTTAATTCTCTTGATTATGTAGTTTCTGATATATCTGATTGTTAAATGTTTATAAAATGCGACAGTAAAATGTTAGTAAAATACGACAGTTGAATAATCATAAAATGCAACCATTTAATATTCCTAAAATGCAACTGTTAAATGTTTGTAAAATGCAACTGTTGAGTGTTTGTAAAATGCGACTGTTCAATCTTCACAAAATGGAACCAAGAATGAATAGAATCCAATTTCTTCACACTCTATCAAGAAATATCTAATTAAAGTAAAGGCAATCACAAAATAAAATGAAAGAGAAATTGTCGTGACCTTGAACAAAATTCTCACAGTTAGCAATAGTATTAAAATAACAGGCCAACATGTATTCCGATCTAGCAAAATTTTGCAAGGACATTCACTGAGGATTGCTTGTGTGGTGTTTTAGTTGCGATTGCTATTTTTTCTAACAACGCCTTCATTTATACTAAAATGTCCTATTCATTACTCCATGGAAAGGAGGCTTGTTGCATTGTCATTCAGCATAAGCAGAAGCTCAGAACAGATTGCTAAGTGTGCACTCATCAAGTCAGAGTTTCAATCACAAAATTAAGCATGTTGTCTACACAAGACTATTTCGATTTCATCAACCCTAACCAGTTTCCCACAGGTATTTTTATGTGATGTTTGGTACATATCATAAACTTTTCAAGTCATGGTTGTCTCATGGTTACTCCTAATTTATCTTTATTCATGTTGCAGTACTTGTTCAATGGTCGATGCTCAGATATGTAACCCATGTGGCCATTCGACATGCGGTCACTGGGCCAAACAAATGGAAGAAAACAGGGCACATAACTGCCAT